ATGTTGACTCACTAAACTCATTCAAACAATAATTGACCCCACAATATGTCTCATAAACACATAGCTTCATAAGACTAGTCTCCAAACGTCCTGGTCGTCCCTTGACGTTCAACCTAAAAGCTCTTCAAACTAGACTTTAAAAGTCAAAACTCAACATTTTAACAAGTTACTAACTCATAAAACACATTAGAATCTCTAGTTCATCCTATTTTATTTTGAGATCCATTACAGGCAAAAAAGGGTCATACTTTTTAGATGATTCCTTAGTGTTTTTTAGCATAGACTAGTGGATCCACTTAGTAGTGCAAATTCTATACCAATATCAAGGTCTAAGACGACCCTGGAAGCGTGAGGTAAAACATCGTATCATCATTTTAGCTCTTAAGTGATGGTTATCGGTTAGAGAAACCTCCATGGAAGTTGAATGTATTTTATATACACAGTTATTTGTATTTTTAAATACATCTCAGAGTTATATTGTATCCTTGCATACATATAGAATTGACAATTTTTCTTTATATTTTACTTATTTTAAATTGTTATATATTGAAATGAGTTCAGTCTTGTAGAATTGAGTTGAGTCAAATAAGTTCTTCACATTCTCCTTCTTTTTCCGTGTAGAATAGAGATTCTCTCTAAGATTGATAGAATATACGTTTTCAAGCCTATGGTAGTACTGTTAAGCATTTCAACGAACATACTCGCACATTCAATATACTGATGCCAGTTGACCCGCATCATATCATGATGCAGACGCATGTAACGAGGATCGGCATCCAGCGAACCGTTGATCCTGTTGAGCACTCCAGAGTCAGTGGTAAGCCTCCATGCATTCCAGAGGACTCTTTTACTTGCTTACTAGTTTAGTCATTAGGATGTTGTGGGGTTTGTTCTAACATCCATATCAGATTTAAAGTCTTTATAGATAGTCAGTCATATGTTAGTTCATTCGTCATTATCTTGTTATTGTGTTATCTTCATATTTGAGTTGCCTTTTTGGCTAAGTTAAATGTTTATTTTTTTAAACATTATGAGTTCATTTGAGACAGTTAAGTTATTTAGCATTGAATCCTTTTTTTATACTTAAATTCTTCCGCTGAGTAAGTAAGTCAGACCAAGGATACGCTTGGGGTCAGCAATGGCTCTCTAGTGTTGTCCACACCTAGGGTGTTGACTCGGGGCGTGACACTATTGATGACGTTGGCTTCCATTTTCTTGGCAACTGTGTTGTTTTAGTTACAAGAATAACCTTGCTTTGATACCATGTATGTTTTGGTAGCAAAACTGTACAATCTTTTTCATCCATAGAGATACATATTTATAGTATAGAAAACTAACTAACTTGCTATCAGATCCGTTGATTCTGGCATATTTGAGAATCAAGGAATGATTTTATTGATCTAATATCTAACATATTCAATAGCAAATCAAATATGATTTTATAAGATCAATTGAAATCCTATAAAATCATATCTTATCACACTTTAGATATTTACAAATCAACAATATGATTTGCAATTTAGGCCTTTTCATACAAATTTGATCTCCTTATATGGACCTAGACAATCGTCCTCTCATAAGTTAGCTTTTGAGGTTGAGTTAGGCCGAATATTCATTTTTTACATAGTATTGGAGTTAGAACCATCTCAATTCTTTTTTCACCGATGTTGGACCACAATATTATCATGTTCACGCTCCAGTTGACGACGTTTGCACGTAGGGATTAAGTGTGTACAAAATTGAATCGAAAATCGAACCAAATCGCAAATCCAGTCAAATCGAAAAAAATTCGACTAGTGGTTTGGTATTGGAAAAAAACCCGACTATATTTGGGTTGGATTGGTTTTAACTTTAAAAAAATCAACCCGACATTATATATGTAATTTTAAAATTTTATTTTATGCATAAAAATATTTACTTTAATATCATTTTAAAATATTTCTTATACTATTTCATAGTTTTTATATTTTAATATCTTATTTTAAGTTTAAAAATTAGAATTCGAAATGGTTTGATAAAATCTATACTTCATAGATGTTGATGATTATAATTAAACTTAAATCAAATCAAATTAATATTAATGCAAAAGGAAAATCAGTTCAACACTAAGAATGACAATAATATTGAATATTTGGTTCTTTAGTTTTACATTGGTTTAGACAATTAAAATACATAATTTAATTTAATTTTTCTTAAATATTTAGTAATGTAACTAATACAGTAATGCTTATTAAACTTATTTTAGCATGATTTAGTACTTTTAAATTATGATTATTTTCATTATGACTTTACAATACTTATTTAATATGACGATTTCATTATTATTTTTATTGAATAGTTTTGTGTCATCAATACTCATCTCATATTTTGTGTTACTTTTTTTTAGAAACAACGTAGATAACTCTATTTTAGTTTGACTAAAGAAATATTTAGAGCACAAATTAATAATATGTTTGTAGGCAAGCTTTACCGAAAAAATTCAAAAATCTGAAAAAATCCAAAGTTTATTAGTTTGGTTTGATTTATAATTTAAAATTCACACAATGGTCTGGTTTGGTATTTGAAAAATTCGAACCTACCCGAGGTTGAATATCCGAAAAATCACTTTATTGGTTTGGTTTGGTTTGGTTTATAAATTTAAAAATTTTACACGAATGATTTGGTTTGATATTTAAAAAACCCGAACCAACACAGTCATGTACACCCCTAGTGGGGAGTGTTAATAATAATTCTTCACATTGGAAAAGGAATGAAAATTGATCTCCTTATATAGCCTTGAATAATCCTCCTCCCATAAGCTCGTTTTTTAGGTTAAATTAGCTAGGTTCAAGTTCCATCTTTACAAAATCACTATACAAAAATTATGATATCAAAATTTTCAATATAATTTAATATAATAATATGATAATTATCAAAATATGCCACATCCCTAATCACGACAATAATGAATTCATAGATGGTTGAAAAATTGAGAAGTAGTGACACTAAACAACTCGAAAGAGCCAAGAGTGATTGATACGAATCTCAAAAATTCCACTTGCAAAACTTTGAACTAGGAAATTGATTAATTATTAATTATTACTTATATGATGATTAATTTTTATTATTATTCATTCGAACTGTCTGGGTGTGTGTTTCCGTCTTTCTCCTCCTATTTTCTTACAGAACGTGACCCTTAATTAAATTATATATTAATGAGACTTCATTATTCAAAAAATTTAATCATAAATATTTTAGAGCAGACATAGAATGATAATGATGATAACATTTTATAACAATTTCCATTTCTATTTCTATATATTTATTTAATAAATAATAACTTATAATTTTTAAAACTTCTATAATTAAAATTTAAAAATTATATGCGTTCAGGCTTATTTTAATATTCTATCAAACGCATACGTCACATCAAATAACTGATATCAATAGCATTTCCCTATACTTAATTTAAGAATTCTATTATAAATATATGAAGCATTATTTTTATGAACAAATTCTATTATTATATAAAAGAGCGAAGAGTTTGACTGATCTCATCATTTACTTAATGAAAATCAAAACAAACAATATTATTCGTAATTATATAATAAAGATAGGGTTAAAAAAAAAGTATATTTTACTTCATATATTATATGCTATAAAATTAATATAATATTTAAGATATTATTTGATACAAGAAATAAGAGATAATTTCATATCGTTCAGTTTGACCTTCCTAGTTTTGCCAGATGCGGCAGACCCTCCAGCAGGCTCAATCTCAATTATCATTCTTAATACTTCCATGAGCTTGTACTCTTAAGGAAATGACGATTTTCTCGATCATTACTTCAAGGGTAAATTTTTTAAAAATTTTGAACTTGTTATTTAGATTTTTCAAAAAAATTCCATGATTTACTTTGTCATTTCAGCTCTCGTGAATCCTCCATTCTTGCATGATTTGTCATCTCTCACCTATATGTCCAAAATTGATTGAGATGTCAACGCTTTTGCTTGGTGTTGGATTGGGTTGAATTACAATTCGTCGTTGCAATTCAATATTAACCTTTGATCTGATACCACATTATCATCAACTTAGACTTTTATTAAAAGCATTATGAGACACTTCACAATTCGCTAGTGAACTTATTACCATCTACTAAATTTAAGTAAATCATTTTGACATTAGATTTCTAAATCTAGCAAATGTTAAATTAAAGAAAAGTACAAGAAAATCGTTAAAAAAAAATTATATTGCTCACTGCTAAAAATATTGATTTTGATGTCTCTACAAATTTATTTATGAATGTCTCTTTTATTTATAATACTCATTTGAGGGCAAAAATGAAAATAATTTTTTAAATCTGTCATATTTATAAGTTAGTCCTATCTTTAGAATTATCTACCGTTCTAGACAAAATTTCAAAGCACCTTCCGTATAAATTTAAAAAATGGTAGCATTACATATTTCATCTAAGGACTAGTCTACTTCCTAGGTATCCCTTTCACAAAGACAGCTTTGTGCTATGTTCCACCTAATAAGTGTGGTAATGATATTGCGAGGATCATCACATACAACATATAAATAAGCTATGTGTAATAATTTTAGAAATAATAGTTTTGCCTTTGATTGTTCTCCGGCCTCTTAATACTTTTACATAAATAAAAATTAACATCGTATTATTTGAATGTTGGAAGTCAAATAATTTTTTTATAGACCTTCACTTTATATATATTTGTAATTATATAAATTTTATTTTAAAAAAATTAAAAAATTCAATATTCAACTTCACAATCAAAATTAAAAAATTAACTCCCCCACCCCCACCTCACCCAATGTGAATGGAGACAAAGAAAATGATATAATTGTATATCTCTATCTTTGACAAATGTTCAAAGAATCATATCTTATGAGCAAAGGTGTGACGTAGTGGTTCTTATATTTGTTAATTGTTTGTATATTTCCTTTTCTTTTTGCCTTTTTTTTTTTTATAAAAAGATAACTAAACAGTTGTACAAGTATAAATAGTTAAGGATGCTTTACTAAAGTATAGAAATAAGAGAATAATCATACAAGATGGGGTTCACAGATAAACAAGAAGCTTTGGTGAGAGATTCATGGGAATTCATGAAGCAAGACATTCCTCAACTTAGTCTTCGTTTCTTCTCATTGTAAGTAATGTTATTTGCTTTCAACTTTTTGTTTAACATATACCTAACTAGACGTACAGTGACAAATCCAAAATTTAGAGTCATTCAATTATGAGGATCTATATAGTAAATTTTGTGGATTTAATAGCGTGCATCTAGTCTAGATCTGCTTGTAAAACAAGTGTAAATATAGGGTCATGTCATATCTACATTTAAATCTTTTAATTTTTCCCCTAGCTAATTGGGATTCAAATATTAATTGGTAGGATCCTGGAGATAGCACCAGTAGCAAAGAACATGTTCTCATTCTTGAAGGACTCTGATGAACTTCCTGAGAATAATCCCAAGCTTAGAGCTCATGCTGTTAAGGTTTTCAAGATGGTTAGTTACTACTAACTCATATTTCCCTTCATTGTTGTGGATTTATTCTTAGTATAAACTTTCTTAGTTGCACAGACTCTTTACATTTTCTTTTTGTCCAATATTATTTATTCACTATTGACTTAACACATTAAATAATTGATATAATATTATTACATTATTCTTTAAATATATTAAACTTAATGTTTTGAAAAATATATTATATATGAATAGTATTTAATTGTAAGGATAAAATGTACGGGAAAAAAAAATAAATATATTTCTTGATCTAGACAAATACTGTTGGACAATTATTTTTGATATATAATAGACAAGAAAAAATAGATAGATAATACTACTTTTAGCTAATCCTATACGCACCTTTAATATTTTTAAAAAAATCCTAACAACATAAGATGTATACAACAATCTCAACACCACTCTCCATACCTCATATTTGCGAACTGCAAATTTAACGATAAGGAACGCGGCATGCACATGATCTCTACTTGTCTTCTTATACACGTGACTTTGACTATTTATTTTTTTCTTATTTGGAATTTTCTTACGAGTTTAACTTATTATTCTGACACTCTTTACATAATTATTTATAATAAATATTGTTCTAAATAGGGGTATTCATCGTTTGAGTAAAGAACGATCTAAATTAAAAAATTAAATTAAATAGTAATAATTTTTTTGTCATATTGTGAAAAATGATAATCTTAATTAAATTGATTATTTTATGAGAAGACATGTGAATCAGCAATTCAGCTTCGAGAAAAGGGAGAAGTGGTGGTAGGTGAGACTACTCTCAAGTACTTGGGATCCATCCATCTTCAGAAACGAGTTGCTGACCCTCATTTTGAGGTATCTAATTTATTTTGTTTTATATTAGTTAATCACTTTTTTCTTTTTACGATAAATGAATGAGTTTGGATTGTAGGTAGTAAAAGAAGCATTGTTGAGAACAGTGAAAGAAGCAACGGGAAATAAATGGAAGGATGAGATGAAAGAAGCATGGAGTGAAGCATATGACCAATTAGCTTCTGCCATCAAAGCCGAGATGCACGCTGAGGCTGCTGCCTAATTGTCTTTTATTAATGTGTGTCATGCTGCCTATCCCTATATTCCCTTATTTCCATTCCCTAAATCAACTGGAAGTGTGTGTTTGATGAAAATGGAACATATAATTTATAATGAAAATAAAATTGGGATTTAGATATTGACTTCACAAGATACAAAGTAATTAAAACAATCAATTCATTCATTATATTATCATCAATAGAAAAGCACAAAAAATCATATGCTTAGACTTGTAAAGGAAAGCAATCAAGTCTCACGATCACTTATTATATATATTATTAATAAAATATATATGTATTCTTTATCAATAACCTAATCTATTTATGTAATATGATTATGATTATATCAAATACTTCATCTCTACTTTTTACTTCATATATCTATTAAGAAAATAATAATTGACATATTGAATTTATCACTTTTACTGTTACTAATCGATAAAGTTTCAAAATCAATTTTACTCTTTTATTTTTTATAATATAGTTGAAGAGAAAAAAAAAAACTCACTCATCACACTAGTTAAAAAGCAAGAGGAAAGGGGGTTAACGTATAAATGGAAGAAAATCATGAAGACCAATTTTAGAGGGAGGGGGGGACGCTCCATGACAATGAGTATGTCTCCATCTGCCGGATAAAGGAACCACAATTTTGGAAATTTCACCACAAATATTCAAATTCTAAGAAAAGGGATTCTCCAACATCACAAGTTTAATTGTTAAATATATATTTAAAACTTTTACACTTTTAACTTTTTGCCTTCACTTTTTTTTTTTTGACATGTAAGTCAAAAGAATGGAGGATATAAAATTAGGTTTTGTGGGGTAGTGAGTATTTTTTACATACACTTGATTAGAGTTGTTGGTGGAATTATAGTTAACATATATATATATATATATATATATATATATATATATATATATATATATATATATATATATATATTATTTAAGACTTGAATTATAAAAGTTCAACAAAGATAATAAAACATTATTTCTTACACATAATAATTAAAACTTTTGTTACAAGCTTTAATAGTCCACATATATACTACAATTTTTCTATATTCTAACTTTCGTAAGTGTTTTTGGAAACAAGTCAATTCTCATAAGAAATATGACCTGCTTCAACTTCTATAAGTTTGTTTTACACCCTATTAATGTGAGCTACAAATTTTATTAAGAGGTTTTTAATAGTCAATCTCCATAAATCATTAAAAGGAATTCACTTACATCGTAGAAAGTAATTCCATTTGTCAACAGATTATTATCTAGAGTTAAGTCTTTTGAGCATTTTTAATATTAATTTATTGTTAAATTTCTCATAAAGTCATATGCTTATTCTGCCTTTAGTAAAATATAAATGTTGTGAACAGTAAAACATTGAAAGGAATGTGTTAGTTTGGCTGCGCGTTAGTGGTATTTAACTGACATATGCATTAATGCGAATTTAACTGACATATGCATTAATGCGAAGTGTTGTTGATGGCATTTGTGCCACTTAATTGTCACTCTTAATTCCTCCGTTATATTTCGTAATATATGTAATTTTTAAGACATTTATCTTGATTATTTATTATCTTATTATTTTTTTATTCATTGCTAAGAAGATTTTTTTTATTATAAATAGTGGTGATCTTCATTTGGTTTAGAAATAAGAAAAAATATAGAATATATAAAAGTTGTCAAAAAAAGAGAATTCTTATTAATCAAAAGGAAATATTCTTTTTGTAAAGCTTTGGACTCAACTTGTGTAAAAAGTTGTTGAGTTATATTTTTGTAATTAGATAGTTTAATCATAGAAGGGACAAGTCAAAATGACTACTGTTGGACCTGTGAAAAATATAAACTGCAGTGGGCATGAATTTCCATAAATAGAGCAAGATATTCACTCCTCAGTCAGAAGAGATTTTTATTTCTTCATTTCATTTCATTTTTTATTATAATCTTGTAATTCTGTTTGTTTACATAGAGGGCGCAACGTTGTGGTGCCTCAATTAAAAATGATCAATTCAATTTTAAAAGAATTTTTAGAAAAGGGTAAAAAGGGAGTCCCACCTAATTTTAAGAAAACTAAAAAATCAATTAACAAAGTAAGTTAAATAAAAAGTTTGCAAATGGGATAAACTATCTCTTATATCATTTACGTCCCTCTTCTCTAAATAAATAAAAAAAATCAGGAATTCACCTAATAATGGACAAACTACCATTGTTATTTTGGTCAGTGGTGGAGCTACATTGTTAGATCGGAGTTCGAACGAACCCTCTAACTTTTACGTAGATCTTATATACGTATTAAAAATCATGTATAAATATATCTAAATAGAGTGTGCAAACTCATACCAAACAAAGGCGAGTGACGCAGTGATAACAGGCAAGCACGCGAGCAGCACTGGCATATTTGAACGGGGGTTCGACTCCCCCTGGCAACTATTTAATTTTTTAATTAAACTTTTTTGGATTTTTACATTTTCAATTAAAAAATGTGTTTTGGTGGTGCCACAGACACATGTACAACACTTTCAAAAATTCTTAGATGGGATATATTAGGTTCTTGACTCATAACCAATTGCAATGGAGAAACCTTATGATAATTTGTCGATCTGAGACGAATAAGTGTTGCAGCATGCAAAATTGCAAGTCCCCACACAGAAGTGGGCGACTTAGTTTTCATAAGCAATGGTCTTGCTATTAATTGCAAACGTAAATTAATGACTCAGCGAGACTATTCTGAGTATGAACATGAGCAACAGAGTGTTCAACTCTTATCCCAATTGCTAAACAATAATCATTAAATGATTGGGATGAAAACTCTGCAGCATTATCAAGACGAATGGACTTAATCTGATTATCAGGAATGTGTGCCCTTAATCTTATTATTTGTGCCAATAATTTTGCAAATGCCAAGTTACAAGATGACAAAAGGCACACATGAGACCATCTAGAAGAATCATCTATTAGAACCATAAAATATCTAAATGATCCACTAAGTGGGTGAATAGGTCCACAAATATCCCCATGTATACGTTCCAAGAACGCAGGGGACTCAATCTTAACTTTCATTGGTGATGGTCTCACAATTAACTTGCCTTGATAACAAGCACTAAAAGAAAATTCACCATTTAAAAGAACTTTTAGGTCTTTTAGTGGATCTCCATTCGAATTTTCAATAATTCGTCTCATCATTATTGATCCAGGATGTCCTAAACGATCACGCCAAAGTACAAATGTATTGGAATCAGTAAACTTCTTATTTACTATAAAATATGCCTCAATTGCACTAATTTTTGTCCAATATAAGCCAGAAGATAAAGCAGGGAACTTTTCTATAACACATGTCTGCCAAGAGACATTCTTGGTGATACCAAGATATTCAAGATTTATTTCATCCATTGATTGGATATGATAACCATTTTCACGGATATCTTTAAAACTCAACAAGTTTCTCTTAGATTTTGGAGAAAATATAACATTATTAATGATGAGTTTAGTTCCCTTTGGCAAAATTACAATGGCTCTTCCAAAACCCTCAATCATATTAATACTACCAAAAATTGTAGTAACATTTATTTTACCCATACTTGAATGAGAAAAATATTTCTTATTTTTGAATATCGTATGTGTTGTACCAGAATCAATCAAACAAATATCTTCATATTTCGATAATATGTTCTTAGAATTATCCATATCTTTATAAATTCTTCAAATCTAACCTTCACTTTTGAGAAATTAGAGTCTCGTGCCGATAACGTGTTATAAATCTATAGAATAAGATAAAGAAATTAGAGAGAAAAGAAGAGAAGACTTGTTATTTATCTTGATGAATGAATTTACAATGAAGAGCAACATTCTATTTATAAGAGAAATCTAACTTGGTTCCCAATTAGGACTCTTTAACCATATCTTAAAAAGAACTCCACATGATAGACATTCACTATAATACAAATACTTTATAACACTAACCAAAATAATAAAATAAAACTTGTAATTCTCTTATTTTGAGCAAATCCCTTTATTTTTTTTATTTTTTATTTTATATTTGGAGAAGACTGACGTTAATGTCGTAAACAATTTGCCCATTAACTTTTAGCTGAAATATCTATTTTGATGCATATATTTAGACATGATCTGTTTTAATATATTATGTTCGAAAAGTGTTCATTTTAATACCAATTTCTTACGAGAAGTGGTGGAAGTATATTACATCAATAAATATAATTTGGGCAACCAAATAATTAAAAAGTTACAACTTGTAGTGAATCATATAAAGGATAGAAATCTTAAGCTAATTCAGCAAAGACGCAGTTAAATATGTGTTTCATCCCTCCTTCATTTTGTATTAATTGAATTTATGAGCCTATATGCATTTATTAAGAAAACTGTGTAAGGACATAATACAGATCATACTTTTCCCTATTGTCTTTAGTTAATTCATCCTCTATTTCCATTTTATGTCGTCCTTACTAAAATAATTGTTTTTTAATATTTGACCAGCTTTCACAAAATTAATGCATAAATGTCCTTATTCTTCCTATTTTATCCTTGAGAGTTACTTCTATTAGCACTTGAAAGTATGCATTTTCACTTGGATAGAAAAACTAAGTAATTAATTCATGTTGTCAAATAATAAATTAATTCATGTTCGTTGATTAAATACTTTCAAGAGAACACTAAATTAGGTTCTAGTGGTAAAAAAAATAAAGAAGGGATACAATGATAAATTTGTCTAGTTTCTTAAGGGATGTGAAACCTAATATGGCCGCAACTAAATAGGAACGGAGGGAGTATAGCTTTGCAAGTAATACAATTTATGTCCTAGAAAATATCAAACTTCATTAAAGGAAAGGGCAAATATGAAAAAAAAAATCCAAACATTCATCTTGAACTTTAAACAATTCAATTATTTTGAATGATAAAAAAAGTCCAAAAAAATCAGTTAAAATGAAATAGAGGGAGTATGACGGAAAGTATTCTCCACCGCAAATATATAATTTCCTAGAAATATTTTTTAAAAAAAATAAGTGAATTTCTTACTTATTTTTTTTTGTTTAAAAATTAAATAAGAAAGTATTATTCCATAAGCATTTATATATTTTCTAGCAAAACACTATGAAAGCAAAACGAAATGAATAGCGAAAATTCGAGGGTGGTGAGACAGGTGGGAGGAAACAAT